GGGGAGAGTGAGGGATGGGGATGTAGCTCAATGGTAAAATATTCCTGGGTTCAATTCCCAGTACAAAAAGAAAAAAAGAAAAATAAGTGACATAGCTTACATATCATTTCATCTAGCAAAGAAACAAAAAATACTGAACAAATTTGTCGTTTCTAAACTTATGACTCCAAAAACAAAAACTTTTCTCTTTTAGCTAAGGCCTTTATTTCCTAGAATTAATTGAGGGTACAAGAGAGATAGGGCTTCCTTATTTGTTTTTCCTGACTTGCATTTCAGTGAGACTTGTCCATCCTAAAGAGATAACAACAATAGTAATAATATTAGTTAACATTTATTCAGGCTTACTATAGGTCCTTGTTCTCCTGGTCTTTCTGAAGCCAGGGTACAAGCTTGAGCCTCTGGTTCTGCAGTCAGAGGCCCAGAGATGAGATTTCCTATTAGAAGAAGTCAGCAAGAGTTAGCGAGGTGCTGTGTTGGGTCTGTTGTGACCTTGGCTTTGAGCAGCAGTAGCTAAGGCTTCCATGGCCCCCTCTGAGTGAGTGCGTGGCTGCTTTAGGATCTTCACCAGGTAGAACTTGGCATCTAACCTCCAGCCTGAGTCTCAGAGCCTCCTAGAGTTCCCTCATGCACTTTATTCAGGTCTTTTACTGCTTCTATCAATGTCGGTTTTCTTGTTTATAACTTGAACGATAATCATGCAAGTCCATGAAGCTGAACTGTGTACAGTAAAAATTGTCTTTTGAAATTCTTTATGCCCCACACATATAATAAAGACTTTACAGTGTAGTGTGCATGCATGTTGAGGAGCCGTGTTCTGTGACAAATGCACAGCTTTAAAGACCAGGTGACATTTGATTCTTTGCTCTTCTGAGAAAGGCTCACAAGCCTGTGGCCTCTGAGGAGTGGCTCATCCTCTCTCTGGGGCTTATGCTCAGTCGGCTAATTAAATGGAATGGGTCTAGAGGATTCTGTCTCTCACTCTGTCTGCTGAAATTGTATAGAATTTGCACATGCTAATAATGTGACTTTACTAAAAAGACAGAGAATGGTAGATGTTTTGCAGTGGCTTGGCCGATTAGCTTCTAGAACGCAGGCTCTTTTCAGAAGGCTCTAATGTACACTCCATGGCTGCACTCTCTAGCTAGATCCACATCTATTAAAATTACATGTGGTCATTAAAAATAGCCAGCCCTATGCCAAAATGTTCCCTCCTTGATGCTCCTCTGAGAAAAATTATAAAATATATAAAACTTTGGGCCTATTTTGAAACAGTCTCCTTCACCAGAGGAGTCTGCCTGTTTCCTCGGTGTGAGATTACAACTTGGTAATGTTCCACAGACTTAAGTCATTTTCCAAGTGATGTTCAAGCATCTGAAACCATGCATGGAATATATGACTTTAACAGTGGCAAAACGAAAGCACTGGCAATGTGCTCCCTACCAGGCCCTCGTTAAATTCCTGGTAGACATTGCCATGGGCTATGTAGTTCTTCATTCAACCTTCACTTCATTTTTCTTTCTTTTTTCCAGGCCAGCATCTCTCAGAAAGGTGACACCTTTGTGTTTGCTCTGGAAACCTCAGCTATTGCTCCCTTTGTTTGGTTGGATGTAGGAAGCATCCCAGGGAGATTTAGTGACAATGGTTTCTTTATGACCAAAAAGACACGGACTGTATTATTTTACCCTTGGAAACCTACCACCAAGTATAAATTGGAGCAGTCTTTTCATGTGACCTCCCTGGCAGATATTTACTGAAGGAATCCGGCTGTATTTTCAGTGTACACTGGGAACAACGCCTTTGTTGAGCACCGGCTAGAGAGGAAGACAACCTGAGAGAAGCTGAGGAAACAAGAGGTGCATCTGCTTGTTCACAGGCGTCTGACACTCTCTCAATTGGTACAGTGCATACTGTCAGGGAAGGCTGTTCCTCCAGGGATGGCCTCAGACAAGGCTGTGCTTAGGTGTTCTTTTTTGCTGTTGTTGTTTTGCTGTTCTGTGGGTTGAACCCAGGGTGCCCTACCACTGAACTATAACCTCAGCCCTTTTTATTTTTTCATACAAATAATAAATGTTCTTAATAAAAATTGAACTCGCCATTTTCCTGCCGTAGCCTCAACGGGGATTATAGACAGGTGCCACCGCACCTGGTTTAGGTATTCTTGAATCTGTGCCAGAACTATTTAGCCCTTCAACGTACAGCTTTAGTACTAAATGAATCAGTGTCAAGCAGATTACCTTTCAGGGAGTCACAAGAACATGACCATGGTAATGTCTACTGAGCCAAGTGTGGGAGGTTTTGAAGTAATTGTAGGCCTTTCATAGGTAGCCTTGAGAAATACTGAATTATTAAGATGAAGTGTTTTGTTATTATTTCCAGAGGAATTGGAGGGTCAAATGTCACAATAGAGATTTCTTGGTGGCACCCATATTGATTATTGTTGCTGAACAGTTTAGAAGGTTGATCGTTGGTATATGATTCCTATTCTGGGATAGGATTCTTTTTTCATTTTGGGAATTGTTATAAAACAGTTTTAATAACTTATTTTTGAAAAGAATCCTTCTTTGAAAAATAAGCTCACATTGACATGGACATCGCTATGTTCATGCTGGAAATTTTGAGATATTCTGACATGGGGCTTGTGTGTGGGCTTCAGATTTGGCTAAATTCAGTGAGCTTTCCGATTCAACAATACTGAATATAGACTTTCTGGCTCTGGCACCAAGTGGCATTCCCTTTAGCTTAAGTTTAAATCAGTTTATTTATATTGATTACTTATAAGTTGCTATAAAAGTACTTTATGCCACATTATCATATCAATATGAGTATGTTGATAATAAAAGTAATGGAGCAAAATGTTAATAAGTAACTAAATTGGGTATAGATGGGTATGTGAAATTTTTTTGGACTACTTTTACACTTTTGCTGTAAGTTTGAATGATAAAAATAAAAGTTAGATAAATTGCACTGACAATTTGATAGCTCATCTGTGGCCTAATTAATCATTCTAAAATATTCCATTGTGCCCATTATTGAGATGGACACTAATTTCTGCTTGATACATGAGAGAATTTGAAGAATCTAAAAACTAAGATGTTTGAGAGATTTTTCTATGGAAAGAATCATGTAATTGGTTATGGAATGGACCAATAGTGAAGACTTAGATTTAAAATTGAGACTCAATATTTTTTTATTTTTAAATTTTGATTAATTTTATTTTTATTATTTTTTTTTTTTTGATACCAGGAATTGAACCCAGGGGCACTTACCCACCGAACCCTATCCTCTGTCCTTTTATTTAGAAACAGGCTCTTGCTGAGTTGCTTGGGACCTCACTAAGTTACTGAGGCTGGCTTTGAACTTGTGATTCTCCTGCCTCAGCTCCCAAGCCACTGGAATTACAGGTGTGCACCACCTCACCTGGCTGGTTTTGGTTTTAAAACAGAAGCATTAGTTTCAGTAACTTGAAAAAGAATATAAATACAGATATTCCAGTCCTGTCCTTCAGTATTTAAGAGTTTTCTCATCTCTGTGCTTACACACACACACACACACACACACACACAGGCTTATCAAGGGCTGGACCTGAGAATGGAGGACACTGTTCACTGTTCTTCATTAACCATGAAGATTCTATGACAGGGGCCCTGTGAAGTGGGCTTGGAAGTTGATGAACCAGAGTTTACATCGTAAATCTGCCCTTAATACTTTTTCAACCTTGGGGGCTGGGGATGTGGCTCAAGCGGTAGCGCGCTCGCCTGGCATGCGTGCGGCCCGGGTTCGATCCCCA